ACTGAGATGTTCCAGTACCGCAGTCGGTACAGGAGGGCATTCAGTGTTTTGCACAGGTCATCCCAGGACGGAGCTCCGTAGATGATGTCATCAATGTACGAACTCCGGGACAGCACAGGTCCCATCTGTTCCGGGGCGACCCGGTTCTGCTGGAACACGGTGTCGGTGCTAGTTCTGGAGACCACCGCCCCCTGGGGCTCCGTGCCCTGGGATACCTGGGCGACCGGGTCCCCGGGAGAAATCTCCAGGAACTCAACACCTCTGGGTCGAAGAGTCGTTCCTCATCCCGGGGTAGCCGGACGAAGCCCCAGAGACAGTTGTCCAGGAGCTGTTGGTAAATCAGCGGAGCATTCTTGAGTCCGAACGGCATGCGCTTCCACTGGAAGTGTCCGAGCGGGCAAATGAATGCTGAGATCAGCTGAGCCCGGGCCGTCATCGGGACCGCCCAAAACCCACTTGCCATGTCCAGGGTCATAAACCACATGGTGGCGGCGAAGTTGCTCATGAGCTCGTCGATTATGGGTAGGGGGTAGTTCATCAATTTAATGAGCTGGTTCACCAGCCGGTAGTCGATACACAGGCGGACGTCGGTACCATTCTTCTTCATCACGAGCACGATGGCCGATGCCCATTCCGAGTTGGAATATTCGATCAGGCCCGTTTCCAGGAGGCGCTTGAGCAACTCGTACACCTTGGACAGTAAGTCGGCGGGGATCCGCCGGGACCGCATGGAAATGGGTTTTTCGCCCCCGACGTCCAAGTCGCACACCACGCCCCGGGCGGGGGAGGAAGTGCATTCCCTTCTCCCAAAAAAAATCATACGATGCTTCCGGAGGACGGCCCGGAGCCGCTCCTCCTCTGCGGGGTCCGACTCCCCGGGCTCACCGACGATCGCATCTTCGATGTTGGCATCAGGCCGGAGGTCGCTGAGGTCGGGGAGATACGCCAGTTGGTTCTTGAGCATGTCTAGGAGTACGAAGTCGGAGTAGACCGCGGGTTCTGCGTCGAGAGTTTCCCCAGCCATCGCTACCATAACGAACGACCGGGC